GGGCTGCGGGCGCCCAGGAGGCTCAGCTCCGGGACCCAGCAGCCGTGGGGCCGGGGTGCATGGGGAGCCGGCCTAGGACTGGGGTCAGCTGGGACTCTGCACTGGACCCTCGCACTGTGACCAGGGCCCACCCCCGGGCCTCTAGGCCTCGGCTTCTTGGAGTGCAGAGGTGGGGGTGTGCCCCGTGCCCAGGGACAAGCCCAGCTCCTGGCGGGGGCCCACCCGGGGCCATCTTTACTGGCACGAGTCCCGGGGTGACAGGGCAGACTGCCCGAGACCCCGCAGAGGCCCTCAGCCTCCGAACTGCAGGAGCCACTTCTCCGGGGCCTGGTCCTGCCAACCTGATGGCAGTGTACCGGGGGCTGGGCCCCAGAGGGGACCTGACCCTTGACCCCGTGCTGGGAAAGGAGTCTCTCCTGACCACAGGCTTCCTGTCCGAGAGCCACGTAAGCACTCTTTGGCGCGGCGGACCCACTATTTCCTCTTTTGCCCTGGCTGCCAGGAAGCTCAGTGCTCAAGCCAGCCCTCTGCTGTGAACGACCCTCAGCCCGGATCTCAGCCACAGTGGCTTCCTCCTGGCATGGGCTTCCACCTCATTGACTTTAGCCCTCCTGGGCCTATGTTGGGAGACTGCTCCAGTTCTCCTGGGAGCAGCTTCAGTACGGGTCAGAAACAAGTAGAGCAGATTCACCCCAGAAGTGCCCAGTGACCGCGGGGCCAGCAGGAACTCAGCCCAGGTTCTGTGACGTACTCCTGTGTGAGCTTTGGCAAGTTGCTCAACCTCTCTGTGCCTCCCCTGCCACTTCTGAATGTACGAATATTAAAGCCCGTGGTCTCGAGGGACTGCTGTGAGGGATGACTGACACAGAGCGCCCCGCCAACCCTGGCGCACCGTGTGTGGGGGTCCCTGGGGGATGCGGTCCTGATGTCGTCCCTGCTGCCCATCTCTGAGCACCTGCTGCCCCATCTGTCAACATAAACCACCCTGCAGAGCTGTCGCTAGGACCAGGTGGTAAAGCTTCCAGAAGAAACCACGGCACACAGTAGGTGCTCTGCCTGCGGCCACTGTGATGGTCATGATTCCCCACAGCCACTCCTAGCTCTGTTCTGAAGGCTCAGCCTCCCATGAAGCCACGGGTGCCTTTGTCCCCTGGTGTGGAGACTGTTGGAAGGTTTCCCTTTCTGAGTAAAAGAATGGCCCTAGCTGCCACTGCCCCCTTCGCTTCTGGCCACAGCAGAGCAGATGCTATGCCTGGTGCTGTGGCAGCCATTTTGTGACTGTGAGGTAGGGCACACACCACGCCACAGGCTGGCTGGGGGCTTTCCAAGATGTCCTCCAGGTCCTCAGCACCCGGGGCCTGGGGTCTCCTGACTGTCCCCGTTTTGCTGACGGTGAGTCAGGCCCGGGTGAGGCGCAGCACAGCCACGCAGACCCAGCAGTGCTGCCCCTCGGGCTGTGGCCCGGGGTCGGTCTCAATCCCCAAGGGCCTCCCGTCCACCCACCCGGGGACCCAGGCCCTGGGGCCCTGCAGCCCGCGAGGGCGGGCGCTCACCTGGCCCACGTTGAAGTAGAAGAGGGTCCCGGCGGCCACCTGGGCGATGAGGATCAGGAGGAGGAAGGCAAAGTACTGGGGACAGAGGGGGCGGTCAGCTGGGCCCCGCTGCCCCACCCACCCCGTCAGCAGCTCGCCGCAGGCGGGCGGGGCGCACTCACCAGCCCCAGCAGGCAGCGGACCTCGTTGACGGCCCCCAGGCAGCCCAGGAAGCCCATGAGCATGGTGACCACGCCCACGCCCACGAAGACGAAGGCGCCCGTCTGCAGGAAGCCGGAGGAGGTTTCTAGGAGGGAGGAGAAGGGCATCCGCTCACCAGGAGCAAGGCCACAGAGGAGAAAACCCGCCGGCCCAGGGGCAGCTCGTCCAGGGGGCTGGTCACCCAACAAGGAACTGGCTCCCACCCCTGCTGGAGCCGCCTCCCCTGGATGAGCCGCGTCCCCACAAAAACTGCAGCCCTGCGCCCGGATCCAGCCCCACCTGCAGCCCTGCTGTACTTTTCTTCCTGGGCCGTCTCAGGATCAAGCCTACTCTGTATCTTCCTGCTTCTGCTCACTCACTATCTGCCCCTGCCCCGGCCCAGGAAAGCAGGCGGCGGGAGGCAGGGGCTTGGCTCTGTTCCTGCTGAGCCCCCAGCTGGCAGGACAGGGGTTTGGCACAAAAGTGCCCCATAATGTCTGTGGGATGAGTAAGCAGCGGGCACTGGGGCAGATGGGTCTCAGAGGCCAGGGACATACGACTCCCTTCCTGCCCACTGGCCTGGCTTCAGGGGCTTTCCACCCGCCGCCTCCGCTCTG